TATACTAGAGGCCACTATCTCTTGTGAGAACACAAACACATATATATTTATATATCATGACCAAATTAATGTATCCCAGAATGCAAGAAAATCCATTAATATAATTAATTATATTAACAACTGAACAAACAGAACAGATCATCTCAACAGAACTAGAAAAAACTTTTGACAAAATCTTTATCAAATTCTGGTAAGAACTTACAACAAACTAAGAATAGAAGGGCACTTTCTTAACCTGATAAAAGTAATCTATGAAAACCTACAACTAATATCACTTAAGGATGAGAACCTGAATGTTTTCGACCAAAGATCAAGAATGAAGCAAGAACGAGGGTACCGGTCTGCTCAGTGGGAAGAGCATTCGACTCTTGATCTCGACCTCGTGAGTTTGAGCCCCTCACTGGGGACAGAGATTACTAATAATAATTAAAACTTATAAAAAAGGAATAAAGCAGGAATGTCTCATGTCTTCCACTTGTATTCAATCTCATAATATAGGTTTTTCCCAGACCCTTCAGGCAAGGGAAAGAAATAAAATATATTCACATTGGAAAGAAAAACATAAAACAGGCTTTTTTGGTACACCTGGGTGGCTCAGTAAAGCATCTGACTTCAGCTCTGGTCTCATCTCAGCGTCCTGGGATCAGGGATCTCAGGATCATTCCAGAATCCCACGTCAGGCTCTTTGCCCAGTGCAGAACCTGCCCCACCCTCTGCCCCTCTCCCTGCTCATTCTCTCTCTCTTTCTCACTCTGACAAATAAATAAATAAAATCTCTTCTTAAAAATGTTTTATTTGTAGTTATCAGGATCATCTAGAGAGATAGTCCTCTGAGGTGTAGAGTTAGTAGAACTGGCTTGTCACAGTTCTGCAGATACACACATATGTATGCACACACATATACACTCAAAGATAGCAAAAATATTTACATTTGTATTTATTCATTTTTTAAATATTTTTTATTTATTCGTTTCAGAGAGAGAGAGAGAGAGAGCAAGAGCATGAGAAGGAGGAGGAGCAGAAGGAGAGGGAGAAGCAGGCTCCCCACTGAGCAAGGAGCCCAATGTAGGGCTCATCCCAGGATCCCAGGATCGTGACCTGAAGCGAAGGCGGATGCTTAACTGACTGAGTCACCCAGGTGCCCCTGTGTTTAGTCTTACAGGAAGTTTAATCTTCCAAATCATTTTCCCTTATATTATTTGATTGCCATGAACTTGGAGACATGTAAGCAATAATAGAGATTCCCCAGAAAAATGAGATATTTGGAAGTCTGAATGTCTCATCTGAGATAAGGTACTCCGTTTCGTCCTTGGCTTTCCCCAACACATATCAACACAACCTTAGGAGCTAATGTTTATCCCGAAATTAAACCTCTTCTTTGGAAATAAGGCTGTGGTAAGAACAAGCTGGAACAAATGTCAGCATAGGCACCTAAGATGCTCACAGAACATTCCGTTACTACCCTTATGCTAAATGGACACTGGAGACTGGCCTCGGAAGTTTCCTCATGATCTTCTGGAGATTAAGACGTTTCTCTAATTCTCTTTACTACAGGATGCAATTTGAACAATTTGGCATTGCCAGATAGCATTTCACTGACTATGTTTAAAAAAGGAGGTCTGCCAAATAGGTCAAAGACGTTTCCAGATTCCCGTGAAGATTTTCAGGGGTGACGGAGTGCCCATGGGCACTCTCCCTCATCCACACAGTGCACTTGCATTGTAGACGCTGCGTGCCCGGGTGGCAGGCACTATTTTAGTCACCAAGAGGCAAGATGACTAAGACACCATTGCTGCACTAGGGAAGCGTGAGTCAGACAGGGAAAATGGACATGTGAACAATCATGAGGATTCATTGCCGCAAAGTCTAATGGGAGGATGTGTATGGTTATTTGGAAGTGAGGCATGGGGAACATTTTGTTGTGGGGGAGGGAAAATGGACGTAGTCGTTTTTGAGATAAGAAAAGATTTCCTAGGATAAAAAACTCAATGGAACATTGGGGAGGGCATGGGCTATGGCGAGCCCTGTGAACTGTATAAGACTGATGACTCACAGACCTGTACCCCTGAAACAAATAATACATTATACGTTAATTAAACAAAACAAAACAAAACTTGATGGATTCTAGTAAGAGTGTGCAAATTAAAAAAAAAAAAGAATGTGTAAGTTTCATTTATATTATTTATCTTCAAATGATAAAATTCCTGAATGCCTTCAACTGACATATTTTATGTGATAGTGGAAGTCAGCCCCTGTCTTTAATAGACCAGCGTAGCCATGAGGACGCATCACACCCACTGAGAGGGCTAACAATTACTCGAGCCAAGCCAGGCTCTGGAGAACTTCCTTGAGTCAAACGAAGGAAGCCAGTGACAGACCGGCAGGGGTGGGGGTGGGGGTTGGTATAAAAGATGGAGCCAGCTGGTTGGTGTGATCTGTGGCCTAAAACTCCTGGGTTCAGAGACTGAAGCTCATCACCAGTTAAAAGCAGCTCGCATCTTTGCTCGTTTTTCACCCTGGCCCTATCCTGCTTCCTCCGTTCTGTTTCTCCAAAGTGCACATTAAAAAAAAGAAAAGAAAAAAAAAATCACTTGAAAAAGAATCCTCCTCATCTCGAGCTCTGCTTCAAAGGAACTTGAACTAAAACACCAGCTCCTTAACTACACTCAAACTTTGTATCTTTAACCTGAAAACAATACAACTCTCCATCTGCTTCAAACTGGACAGACACTGCTACGAAATCAAAAGCCTTTTGTTACATTTTAATGGAAAAATACTATATATATATATATATATATATATACACACACACACATACAGAAATATGTGTATATATATGTATGTGTGTGTGAGTGTGTGAGTGTATATACTCACATTGGTATATACCAATCATACCAACTTCATGACAGCCAGCCTATAGGCAATTTTATTCTCTCTCTAGCCTGTTAAAAATTACTATTGCTACTTATCTTTTTCACTAATATGTGGAATTTAAGAAAAAAAGAGACAAACAACAACAACAACAAACCCAGGTTCTTAAATACAGAGAACTCCCGGTTACCAGAAGGGAGAAGGTGGTGAGGAGTGAAGTAAAGGGGAGTAAGGTCACGCTCATCCTCATGCACACTGAGAAATGTGTAAAATATCTGAACCATTATATTGTACACTTGAAACTAATATAATAAAAAGTTAAAATTAAATAACATTTTTTAAAATAACCATTGCTACTACAATTATACTTCTTCCTTCTTTGGTGGTATAACTGTTTTTTTGTTTTTTTTTTAAGATGTATGTATTTATCTGAGAGAGAGACAGAGACAGAATGAACAGGAGGGGCAGGGGGAGAGGGAGAGAGACCCTGAAGCAGACTTCATGCTGATCCTGGAGCCTGTCTTGGGGCTTGATCTCACAATCCTGAGATCACGACCTGAGCTGAGAGCAAGAGGCAGATGCTTGGTCGACTGAGCCCTCCAGGCTTCCCTTTAACTACATTTTCAGTTTCAGCTCACTTTACCAGCCCAAACTCTCTATACCTATCTTCCTGTTTTCCTTTTTAAAATGGTGAGATTTGTTGTTGGTGTAGAGAAATGACAGATGCTGGCGAGGATGCGGAGAAAGGGGAACCCTCCTACACTGTTGGTGGGAATGCAAGCTGGTGCAACCACTCTGGAAAACAGCATGGAGGTTCCTCAAAATGTTGAAAATAGAACTATCCTATGACCCAGCAATTGCACTGCTGGGTATTTACCCTAAAGATACAAACGTAGTGATCTGAAGGGGCACGTGCACCCGAATGTTTATAGCAGCAATGCCTACAATAGCCAAACTATGGAAAGAACCTAGATGTCCATCAACAGACGAATGGATAAAGAAGATGTGGTATATATACACAATGGAATACTATGCAGCCATCAAAAGAAATGAAATCTTGCCATTTGCGACGACATGGATGGAACTAGAGGGTATCATGCTTAGTGAAATAAGTCAATCGGAGAAAGACAACTATCATATGATCTCCCTGATATGAGGGAAAGGAGATGCAACATGGTGGGTTAAGGGGGTAGGAGAAGAGTAAATGAAACAAGATGGGATTGGGAGGGAGACAAACCATAAATGACTCTTAATCTCACAAAACAAACTGAGGGTTGATGGGGGGTGGGGGGTTGGGAGATGGGGGGTGGGGTTATGGATATTGGGGAGGGTATGTGCTATGGTGAGTGCTGTGAAGTGTGTAAAGCTGGCGATTCACAGACCTGTACCCCTGGGGATAAAAATATATTTTATGTTTATAAAAAAAAAAAAAAAGGTGAGATTTTAGGAGAGGAAAACATTTCCCTTATGCCCTTTCTTCTTTATTTTGAAGCATACTCCCAGTGTGAGTATCCACCTTGGAAGCTGGCAAATGTTTCTTGAACTAATGGAAAGGAATTCAAAAATCCAAAGACATGATATTGTAATTATTATTTATACAAATAATAATATAATCATAATGCACTACATTAATACTGCCACAATTGGAGAGTAGTCTCTAGTTCATCACAGTCCTTTTAGTAAAATGAATCATAACATTTTCTGAAAAAAAAATTGCATTGAATGGCATTTATATTCATTATTCTAGAACCTGAATGAGATAATTGTGAGGCTATAGGTAAATTTTTGCTCCACTTATTTTTTAAAACATCAACCAAAATGCATTAGAATATGGGCAGGTAATTAATTAAAAAGAGGAGAAAAAAATTCTGGAGACAAATTTTGATCATACATATTTAAGATTCAATGTTTAGGACTGATTCAAATAGTGAAAAGCATCCACAGTACAACATGTGAAAGTTTTCAACACAATATGCTTTAGAGTTTTACAGAGAATATAGCTGAAGAATAATGGAGAAATTGTATCTTTAATTCAAAAGGACACAGCAGTTAAGGATAACAAATAGAAATTATATATATGTACATATTTGAAAATAACATGCTTTTCAAATAACCCATGTATCACCTACCTGAAGTCAGAACCTGCTCTTCTACCATTCTCTGGAATCCCAGGATCCGGACACATGTCAGAAACCAACGCAACGCCTCCTTGACTCACTAGAATAGAGAGAAACATTCTTGTAATTTTGTGTAGCTGTTGGGGAAATTGTCAGAGAATAAATTTATGTTAAGCAGGCTTGATTCTTAAATTCTGACAACTTAAAACTGTGGTTTATTTAGAATTAAGATACTTTAGCTATATTAAAATGAATCTTTATTCTTATGTCTGAGAAAGTCTTCTCACCCAGTGAAAGGATGCCAGCATGGTTTAGTTAGAACACTTTTTCTATGAAGTGGGCAAAATTTAATTTTAAAAAATGCATTTGCTCATTATGAACAACTTTATGACAGGTTACAGCAACAGCATGATGGGAAAAAAGAGCAGAGTCATGAAGTGTTGAAGCTTATACGGAAGAAAGCCTTCATCCACAATCCATGGATAAAGTGAAGAAACAAATTATCTGTTCATACCTATACAAGAGGCACCTTAAATAAGACTCCTTTTTATGTTTTCAACATTGAACAGGTTTATCACTGAGCCAAAAAACCCAAATACTGTTCTTTTATAGACATGCTGCTTTATTTCCTGAATCTGCTCTGGGAAGAGCCTTCTCTCCTATTGGGATGATGTACAGTCATGGTACTTCAATGATTTTAAAGTACTGGCTTGCTCTTTGGATAGGATAACTGCCACTCAAACACTCATCCAATCCTGTCTAATGTAACAAGGCAAGTCCTTCCTTCTTTCCAGAAATTTGCTCAGCCGTGGGCCTGTGACCCATTCCATTCAGGGCGACATGAGGGGAAGTCTGTAGCCATGCCCCTGGGAAGACATTCCAGGGAGCCAAGAGAAACCATCTCTGTTTTTATTTGGATCTTACTGTGTCTAGATTTTGAATGTGGAAGGTTTGGTACCATTTTGCTATGGTCCAAAGATGGGAACAATAATATGGATGGGATAAAAGATATATAGTAAGAATCAGGACCCTTGATGTCATAGTCGAGACAGAATATTTACCAATTCCAAAATTATCCTATCTCAACATTCTGTTGGAAAATTCGTATTTCCTACAGCTTAAGCCCATTTGAATAGAGGATTTAATTATCTGCACATGTATATACAGGTAATAGCCGTATTTATATGTCCATAATACATATAATATATAAATAATACTATCATATATGTGTGTGTGTGTGTGTGTATAATATATATATAACTTCCCCACATATAGTTTATATGATTCCATAAGGAAGAAATACAGATACCTGTATAAATATTGAAATCTTTAAGCATTTTATTAAAACTATGCATAAAAAATGATGATAATTATATCAAGGTTCAGTTTTCCCTGCTCAGTTAGGATGAACCTGGGATATGGACATAATCCCACATTAACTACAAGTCTTTCTAGAACACATTAAATAAATGCATTCTTAGGAAGCACTTTGTTATTCCATATTAGTTCATCTATATTTCTTACAGCTTTTAATTGAGATTTTTATATCATCTAAAAATCATTTAACAGTATGGTGTGAGAAATGGATTCAACTCTCAAACTTTCTTCCCCACATATTTGCTCTTCTCATGATCATTTAAAAATAACCCAGCACATAGGGCAGTGACATCAGTAATATTGTGGAATAGAAAGCGCCAGGCCCTCTTTCTGCCATGGAAACACCAAATAAAAACTACAGAGGGAATAAAGTAACTTTTTAGGATCTCTGGAAACTAGTCAGAGGCTGAGAGCTGCCAAGGGAACATCCAGTGAAGAAGAAGCCACATCCATAATAGCAGGAGAGTTCATGAAAGTTTAACTCACTCTTACCCCATACCTTCCCTGACATGGCACAGTGGCCTCATTCCTGGGTTCCTTCACTGAGGATGAAGAAGCAAAGAGAAAATTGTTTGCAATATTCTGGTCTGTGGGGTACATGAAAGACTTTTTTTTCCCCTTTGCCTGTCGTGGAGCTCATATGGGGAATAGCAGCCAGAAGCCTTGGAAGGCATGGTGGCTGCTACATGGAGAAAGTGCTCAGGGACCACAGCCATGCAGGCACCTGGGGTCAAGAAATTACAGGCAGAAGAATGTAACAGAATAGTTAAGATCCTAAGAAGCTGGAGTGAGGCTTTTTGGGGAAATAAGATATTTTGAAGCATCTGAATGGGGGACTGGAAAAGCGCACACAGAGACCTAGATAGGACACATTCCCAGACAAGACTAAGAAGACCTTAAGTCTTCATGCTAGGCTAGCCTTAAGGTTCAGTGGATCACTAATTTTTAAAGTCTTCCACAATGTTTTGCAAAACTAGGAAAGGTAGCTGTTTCTTCCCAAAGCAGTTTTTCACAAAGATCACAAGGCATTCAAAAATTGAAAAATGTGTGCAATTCAAATGGATAAAATTAATCTCCAGAAATAGTCCCTGAAGAAACACGTGCATCAGACTTACTAGACAAAGACTTTAAAACAACTGTCTTAAATATGAATTTTGAGGAAATCTGAGGAAAGACATAAATATACAAATGCTAGGAGCTACACAGATTCCAAGTAGGACAAACTCAAAACGGCTCACAGTGGGACACATAATCAAACTGTAAAGAGATAAAGACAAGGAAAGAATCTTGAGAGCAGAAAAAGAAAAACATCTCATCACCAAGAGACCCCCCAGCAGTTTTCTCAGCAGAAAAGTGGTAGGACAGGAGGCAGTGAGGGGAAATATTTAAGTGCTGAAAGAAAAGAAAAAAAAAAAAAAAAAGCTATTTACAGAGAATTCTATATCCAGCAAAACTTTCTCAAAGAATGAAGGAAATATTAAGACACTACTAGACCAAACACCACCACCACCAACAACAACAACAACAAAAGACAAATAAACAAAAACAAACAAATAAAAAAAACTAAAAAAGCAAAGAGGATTCATTACTTATAGGTCTGCCCTATAAGAAATGTTAAAGGGAGTCCATCAAATTGAAATGAAAGGACACTGGACAATAACTGAAAACATCAAGTTCTCTTGTAAAGGTAAATATAGAGAGAAATATTTTAAAAATCCACTATTTTGTCATTTTGATTCACAACTCCATGTAAAAAATTCTCTACATGATTTAAAAGATAAATGCATAAAAATATTATAAAAATGCATTAATAGGTATACAGTATACAGAGATGTGATTTGTGACATCAGGAGCACAAAGTGGTGGTGAGGGAACAGTGAAGGAACATAACTTTGTGACAGAAGTTAAGTTGGTATCAGTTTAAGATAGATTGTTGTAACTTTAGGATCTTATGTGTAATCCTCACGGCAACCACAAAGAAGATATCTATCGAATATGCAAAAAAGGAAATGAGAAAGGAATCCTAATAGGTCAGAAGGAAAATTAACTGAACACAAAGGAAGATGATAATGGAAGAAACGGCAGACAAAACTGCTGTAAGGCAAACAGGAAATAAATAAAAGTGGTAAAACTAAGTGCCTTCCAATCCGTACTTTCTTTAAATGTAAATGGAATCAATGATATGTATGGTTTGAATTGTTTCCCCTCAGCATTCATATGTTGAATCCCTAACCCCCACTCCTCAGAACGTGACTGCATTGGTGATAGGGTTTTTGAGGAGGTGACTAAGTTAGAACAAGTCATTAGGGTGTGTGTATTCCAGTAAGAGGGATATCCTTATAAATGGAGAATTAGACACAGATACACAGAGGGAAGACCATATGAAGACACACGGAAAAGAAAACCATCTATGAGTCAAGGAGAGAGCCATCACGTGAAACACCCTGCCAACAGCTGCATCTTAACTTCCGGCCTCCAGAATTCTGAGGAAATAAATGTCTGTTGGTTAAGTCACTCAATTTGTGGTCTGTCGCTCTAGCAGGCTAATATACTCCTCAGTTAAAGACATAGTTTGGCAAAATGGATAAACAATGACAAACCAGGATGCAACCATATGCTGCCTACAAGAGACTCACTTTCTGTCTAGGGACAGGCAGGGGTTAAGGGGGAGAGTGGCCAGATTCATAGAGCCAGGATGTAGACTGCTGGTTTCTCAAGGCATAGGAAGAAAGGCCTCTGGAATTATCATTTAATATGCATAGAGTTTCAGTAGGGAAGCTACAATGTTTCTGGAGAGGGGTGGTGGTGACAGGTGGGCAACAATGTGAATGCACTGAAAGCCACAAAATCATATACAAAGAAAATATTTCATACGGTGAAGTTTATGTTATTTGTGTATTACCACTGTGGTGTGTGTATGTGTGTGCGTCCTAACAAGTTATAAATCTATGTCCTGTCAGCAAATCAACTTGTATCAATCTGATAGTTCTAGAACATTCCCCCTTACCCGCATTTTCACTTTTTGTGGTTTCAGTTACCTGGGGTCAACCATGGTCCAAAAGCAGGTGACCTAAATCCTAAAGCTATGTCACAACTCCTATCCATTCACCTCAGTTCATCTCGTCATGTAGGCATTTTATCATCTCACATTATCACCAGAAGAGGAAGGGTGAGTACAGGACAATAAATTATTTTGAAGGAGAGAGACAATATTCACATAGCTTTCATTAGATAATATTGTTATAATCGGTCTATTTTATTAGTAGTAATTATTGTCAGTCTGTCACTGTGCCTGAATTAATAAAATTAAACTTTATTGTATCTGTGGATATTTAGTGCCTACGGGGTCCCATACCGTCCATGGTTTCGGGCATACGTCTGGAATCTGGGAATGTATCCCTTACAGAGAAGGGGGACATGGCTGCCCTACTTTTATCCCCAGCCCCACGGTTTCATAGTCTATACTATGTGCTAGGGCAGAGTTCTCAATCAGTAAGCAGTGGTCTCTTAATCAGTCTCTGAAATTGATTTCCCAAAGAGACCTCCATTCCCAGTGCAGAATACTACTTGTGCAATTTTTTTCCTGTCATCATCACTTAGATGTGTCCTGCTTACCCCCAAGCACAATGGTCTTTGCTGTGTCACACGAAAACACCCTTATCGAGGTAAGTGGGCATCGCTGCTTTTATCAGAAGCCATCTGCCGTAGTGTGGCTCTTACTTC